GTTGGGTTTGTCCCTATTTTACCCAGCATTTTTTAGAGTGTACATGATATCTGTATAAAATTTCAAAGATTTCTTATTGATTTTATTTATTTGTTGTAAAATTGTCTAATTTCTAAAACATTATTCATTTTCACATTTGAATGAGACTTTAAAAGTCAGATTTTCAGACTTTTGGACCCAATCTTGTCATATAAATATATACACAACTCCATGTCTCTGTATTTGGTTGATTGGGACAATTTTCTAAAGTTTAAAGCACTATTCGTGCTGATATACATTTCCAAACAATGTGGCATGCAAACATATGGACAACAGTTGATGAATCAAGCAAATTGTCAAAAATCTATTCACAATCACACTTTGTGATAATCTACAAGTAAACTGTGAAAGAACATTGTCATCTTACTGTCACTTTAAGACGTTAGAACAACAGTCAGAAGTGCCAGCAGCTCTTGTCAATCATCTGCTGGCTGTCCTTTCTCTTAAACGCTCCACTCATTGCGCTTTGGCTCCAGTTGACCTTATTTATAGATAATAAAAACCTTCATTAGGCTGAATTCCAGCACTTGTTATAATAAACACAAGCTGTCAGAAAACTAGCCTTTCACAGGACTCAAACAGCCCATGTGTGGCTACACATTTACTTGTAGGTTAGAGAGAGCGAGAGGTCAAAGGTCAACATTTGAAACTCAACCTGGGAGAACATATATGTCTGTTTGTTCGGAATTAGGTGCTACTTTCTCAAGTGAAGTGAAAAGCTTCCTTATGCCAAGTGTTTATCTACAACTTAAGAATATTAAACAAGCCTGAAGAAAACGTGTGAACACAGAAAGTGTAAGAGCTCGGCTATTTGAATGAATAGGTGCCCTTACTTATAAGGCCCCTGGCCGTAACCTACCTCGTTCTGGTTGGAATAATCATTATCTTCTGTTAAGGAGGAGCATTTCGAAGGCATTTACATGCTCAAACTAAGTACTTTAGAGTCAAATAAAACAGTATGATGTGAAGAGTCAAAATATTGTTTCATATCCTCAAAAGCCATTTGCCATTGAGGCAGCTTTGCTACGCTGGCCCAGATGTTTCTGGCAGACTTTGATCAGTAGTAAAATCGTTCATCCACAAAAACCATTGCATTCCAAGACTGCGCTGGAACAACAATGATGACACCAAAAGATAGACATTGAGTGAGAGGGATAATTGTTGGATAAAGCACTTCTGCACAAGTCTTTGAAGTGATATAGCACATTCTGGCATCGGTAGTAGTCTTGAGGATTGAGGTCAACATTAGCATCTTTCATTCTTTTTCTGTCTTAATATGGATGCCATCTACAATCATACTTCTTATTTTCCATCTTAGACCTTCCCAGAGGAACATTTTATCACTCAAATACTGCTCTTTCATTGCTCAGGAGACGTAATGGATTTCCCAGTTATGTTTCATTTAAGTATCGACTTCATCTCAGATGCGTCTCTTAAAATTCTTAAGGAGAGGTAGAAATAGAAATAAATGAGACAATTTTTTGACAGAGACTTTTTCTTTACCAACTAGGTTCTTGGATCCTCCAGCATGTTCATAAAGGCTGCTATAAATAGATGTTGGGTTAATTTGATTTAAACAGAAATGGAAACATGCTGTGACCCTAAATGACAAACGGCTGGCAGCTGGGCCTGGTAGACACCTGTGCACTGAAATGTCCTATCCATGTTGTATTTTAATTGTCTGAATAATGTAATGCAATCATTCTTTGTGAGGGTGAAATGTGACATGTTATGAAGCAGTGGTGGCATGAAAAACCCTTGCATGAAATTGATCAAAAGTGGCAATAAAGACATTTGTAAAAATTCTATTTCAAATAACTGCTGGTTTTTTTTTTTGACTTTCTATTCATCAAAAAAATGCTGAAAAAAAGTATCTCTGTTTTCAACAAAATATTAAGCAGCACAAGTGTTTTTTTTTTCCATTTACTCTATAATAATAATAAATGTTTCTTGAGCACCAAATCAGAATATTAAAGTGATTTCTGAAGGATAATGTGACACTGAGAATGGGGTATTGGCTGCTGAAAATTCAGCTTTGCATCACAGAAATAAATTATATTTTAAAATATATATTAAAATAGAAAACTGTACATTGTAATAATATTTCACAATATTGCTGTTTTACTGTATGTTTGTTTGGTCAAATAAATGCAGCCTTGGAAAGCATCAAGGATTTTGTTCACTGTCTTTAAAAAATCTTGCTAACTCCAAATTTTTGAACTATTTTTTGTGGATGGATTTTGTGTTTAATAACAGAAAATGTTAAAAACGTATTACTCTAAACCTGTTTCCCCCCAAACCTACACCTATGCTACAAAGGCATTGATCTACACTGAAATAAGAATATTACCATATTAGCAAGGGGCCCTTGAACCGACAAAGTTTTTTAGTTGTCTGTGTGGTCCACATGGACACACACCACTGGTGTGTATGGGAGATCACTCTCCAAGGGTCGCTTCTCTCTCTTCCCAGGGGACAGAGCTCCACACAAGACAGAGTCAGAGCAGTTTTGTTCATGTTTCATGCCTCTGATTCAGCTTCTGCCTGCTGCACAATGTCTATCTGTCATCCGCATGTCTCCGTTTGATTTATCCAGCTCCAGGAATGCTGTTCTCACGATTCCAAAATTTGTATTTTTTGCTTTTGCCCTGAGTGATGGTATCAATCATTCCTGGAGACGTACTCACTGACTCAAAGTGACTGAAAAAGCCACAGACATCTTCACACGAGGCTGCATTTTCCAGTTCCTTCAACTGCTGATCGAAATGTAAACATACTGTATGCATTTTTGACAATGCAGTTAGAAATCAGATTGATTAAGTTCTTTTGTACTTCTCCAAGTATTGAAAAAATACGTTCTACTACTCTTCTAATGACCTGAGCCTTTTTAATAGCTTATGTAACCACAATTGGGCCCCTTCTTTACATTGATCCAAGTGAATCTACCGCTGTCCAATCACAGAGCTAATTAAAAGGTTAACGTGGTGCTGTTGAAAAGGAAATGGAGAATCTTACATTGCTGCGGTTGAAAATCGTAGCGGAAGCCCTCCACGCCGGCCCCTGAACCCTTCCTTCAAAGATGAGCTGGAATCCTCCAAGTATTGTGCGGGCAGGCTGTCTTCCAAACTGGCTTCCTTCTCCTTAAAAGCTTTTCAAGAGGATGGGAGAATGAATGAATAACATTGATAGCGTGCACTGCTTTTTAAGATGCAGACTGAGAACGTGGCACGGTGCCTAAGCAAACTCTAAAGCGGTATGCCCCATTTCAACGCATCCTGACACAATGCATCATGTAATAGAACGCCTTGTCTGAAGCCTAGAAAACAATAGCTTTCTTTGAGTATTATCAAGCTCATTGTGGAAGAGCTGTCATTCCCAGTGGCATTGCCATGGCTGAAGGTGTACATTGAGGTGATTCTCTCCTTATGTTGAGACTCTTTATAATGAAACCAGAGACTGCAAGCATCTGGCAGAGAGCTTTGGGTGTTCAAAAAAAAGAGTGCCTTGTGTGACAAGAGTGAATTTTATTTTCAAGGCGTTCAGCCGATATCAGAGGAAGACCTAGTTTGTTAGGGCTATGGTAGAGATATTGTGGAGAGTGAGGGTGGATTTCTGTTGACAGCGGCATGTGAGAAACTCATCTGTGGCACTGAAGCACTTCAAATTTAGGGTTCTGACAGCTAGAGTCCCCATGGAAATCCAAGAGAGGCCTCAGGGAAGGCCTGCGTCAGATTCTCCACAGGAGATTCACTGCTTCTTACATCAGTCTCTGGTTCAAAGAGGGCACCTCAACCACTGTCAGAATCAATACCATCTCTGCTGCACGTTATGTCATTTTTATGAAGACAAACATACTGTATAAACAATTTTTACATCGAAAAAGCTAAATATAAATGTAGATTTAACAATATATATACCGTACACTATCACTCAAAATCTGGAGTCAGTAAGATCTTTGTAAAAGAAATGAAATTATTTTAAAGAAATTAATACTTTTATTCAGCGTAGATGCATTCAATTGATCAAGGATGACAGTAAGCACAGTTATAATGTTACAGAAGACTTCTTTGAATAAATAATGTTCTTTTGAACCTTTCTATTCAAAGAATTCTGAAAAAAATGTTCTGCACAAAATATTAAAGAAATGTTTTCAACATTGATAAGAAATGTTTCTGGAGCACCAAATCAGCGCACACACACACACATACACAGATATATACACACTGTATTCAAATAAATGCAGCTTTAACAAAAAAAAAAAAAAAAATCTTACTGACCCCAAACTTAAAAATATAGAGTTAAAAAAATGAATCTTAAGAAAAACTTTTATATGTTGTTGGTTTGGATGCTGGTATAGTGGTGGCATTTCCTCACCAGGCTGCTAACTATCTAAACCAGCATCACTATCGTGGTCAAACAGTTTCGCTAGAATGAGTTTGCTGTTTAGCAAAATGGGTTTGCTGGTTCACCTGCTAGATCACCAAACCAACAGAAATCTGAACCAGCAATTTGGCCAATTCTTCATTTTGAAACGGCATTTGCAATGAATTTTACTTCAGTATTTATCAGTAAAACAGGATATTCAATGAAAAAAAAAATATGCAGGATGAATCTTGATCAACATGAGTAAAGTGGGTGCTCCATACCAAAGTGGAATCAGGTGGTTGAGGGTCTCACAAAAGACCTGCAAAAGAACCAAAATATGTATTTAAAAACTTATTAATAAAAAAATATATTAATACATTTAGAAAATCCTAAAAACACTCACCTCACTATAAAATTACACATTTTTATCTTCCTGTTTTAAAAGAACTCCTCTCGAGGGTCGTTGTTCTTCTTTGTTTTAATTAATAATTGTTGCTGGATGGTCAGAGTTTAGGTTGGACTGAAAGACGTGGCTAATGTGCAGATATTGTTCTGCCTGGGTGGGCTTGAACCTCAAGATAATCTCAGCCTCACATCTGCTATAAACAACAACAGGGAATAAACTGAATTGTGGTTAAACTTTGGTTAAACGTCACCATGGAGGACTACTCATTCAGCACAGGTGTCATGTTTAATACCTCTCATATATCAAGAAGTGAGCAGGCAAATAAAATAGAGGAGTTACACATTTTTATCTTCCTATTTTAAAAGAACTCCTCTCGAGGGTCGTTGTTCTTCTTTGTTTTCATTAATAATTGTTTCTGGATGGTCAGAGTTTAGGTTGGACTGAAAGACGTGGCTAATGTGCAGATATTGTTCTGCCTGGGTGGGCTTGAACCTCAAGATAATCTCAGCCTCACATCTGCTATAAACAACAACAGGGAATAAACTGAATTGTGGTTAAACTTTGGTTAAACGTCACCATGGAGGACTACTCATTCAGCACAGGTGTCATGTTTAATACCTCTCATATATCAAGAAGTGAGCAGGCAAATAAAATAGAGGAGCGCCATATGGGTTGGTGTGGAGAGGAGGGGGATTTCGGTTTTTAAAAGCCTCTGTTGCTCCTCTATGGGTCTGGACGCCATAAAGTGGATACGATTACTATGGTGCCATACGGTTCTTTGGACACATCAGAAGGTCAGCAGACTTCTTTTATTACTATCTGACCTTTGGCCAGAGAAAAATGTCAGCACATGTGTAAAGGGATGAAGACGAGAAGGAATTACATTTTATTCCCCTCATCTCTCTCTCTCTGTAATTATTCAATCATGCTTAATTGTTTTTGCTCTAGTGTGTGGTCTAGGTGAGAGAGAAACAATAAGCCCTCATTTTTTTGTGAAAGCAAATTGCTTATTCTTCTTCGGTAAACAGAGCTATAGAGATAGAAGACGTCCTCTTGGAGGACATCGGAAGACCACAATGTCTAATTAATCTCAAGACTTGGTAAGCCTGTTCTCCTTGGGCTTGCATGCGAATAATCACAATACACACACATATACACATGTACATATACAGACACACTCTAACTAAATGATTCACAAAACAATAAAGAGATGGACATTATAAAGGAAGCTTTCTGAAACAAACGATGATTGAACAGTGCAGGAAATGCGGTGCAGTTCATTAAAAGGTGATTGATGATTAGCACGCTGTGTGACATGCTAAATGGGTGGATGATTATCAGCTGAAAAATTAAACACCTCTTGTCCTTGAAACCGTTAAGCTCTCCTCCCGTGCTTGTCTGTTTAAATCCTCCCTGGCGATAAAGCCGTGTTTATTCTCTCTCATTATAGACCTCAGAGGCTGGGGAACGGACAAAGGAATTCAAGTGCCTCTGAAGTTTCTCATTCAAACACACACACACACACACACACACACACACACACACACACACA